GTTTTCTCAAGCACTTAAAGAAGCCAGCTTTTAACTTCCCTAACTTATTTACTAGCTACGTAAAGATGGTGTCTTTACGATTCGCCCCGTTAATAGTTCTTTTACTTGTAGTGCATGACACCCCTTTAGCTTCAACGTTCGGATTTAATGAAGATTCCCATTTCAAGGTAAGTGATAATTTTTTTTAGCATCCTTTTCGTTAGAATTTGAAAGAACTTCATAGCTCTTCGTTCACTATAAGAGCAAGCTCACTATCAGTTACTTTAATTAAGCCGACTTATTCCGTGGCAACTGCAAAACCGGCCAACTGATCCTTGTCAAGTTTTCTTCTACCTGAAAGATTTAACGTACACCTTTCAAGTTTGTTGGTTTAATCCTGGTAATCTCCTCTCCTCATCCATCTTTCAGTCCTTTAAGCTTTAGTATAGTACATGGGCGTTTTTTTTCTTGGAGCTTGTTTTTCCAAACTAATAATTTGGAATTTTTTCTATTTAAAAGTCTGATATACATTTTATTTGAAAAAAAGGAAAGCTATAAGGAAAAGGAACATTTGTCACTTCTGCATGCCTTACGTCTATGACGCAATTCCATCGAACTGTTTATGTGAAAGGCTAGCTAGCCGAAAGACGAAAGATTTGAATAGCATTTGTTAAATCTTTAACTTTTGCACAGAGTTCAAAGTTAAGGTTTCTTGACGTTGATATCAAATTTTGTGTTCACCGTGTCCAGAGATACAACTACCTGACAGGATTTGAAATTCAGAAACTAGGTTTTTAATCTCAAGACTTTCAAAATTCTATTTTTTGCAATCTGTTTCCGTCACTTTCAGGGGGAAGGGAGGATCTAGAAAAATATTCGGATGAGAGGGTGTGGCATTCGCTCTGAAACCTTGAATCTATTTTAGACCAAAGTACGTTATTTCACTACAGCTTATTTGAGCCCTGAACCACTGTTTATCAAGAGAAAAATGATAGTAACACAAAATCCATAAAAGAAAAAAACTCTGATCTATTTTCAAACCCAAAGGGCTCGAACATTGCTCCCTTCGGGCCGCTTATTTAGTTCTTCGGGGGTTTCATTGTCAGTGGTATTGCATTGAGCAATATTTGAGACGAGATACTTAATTATACAAGAATCTTTAACCTAATTCTGATCCGTCAATATCATTCTGTAATGTCTCTAATCTGTGTGGCTGTTCAGACTTTTTAACTTCCTGACAGGAAACATGTGGGATTGATACTAAACGCGGACGTAGCAGCATTTAGTAGCGCCCGTCAATTTCAACAGATAGATGTATGGTAGATGTTTTCTATAAAATGGCATCGCCAACCAGGAAAAAAAAAAATAATAAAGGACTTTTAGAAAGTCTGTATTTTCGTAAGACAGATTCCTTACTCGCTTATTCAGTAAATTCAACAATATAAGTGAGCAGAATCAGTCAGAAGCTTTTCCTTAAAATTTCGCCACTTAGACAATAAGGTCAGGAGAATAAAAATGGCATTAGTTTCATGCAAATTGTACTGAGAATAAAGCTTAGAATATGAATGATGCTTGTTGATAATATAAAAAGATCCAGCTATTGCATTGATTTCTAACTAAAATGAAGAAAGGGCATAGTATATGGGGCAGTGTCGTCCTTTAGAAAATAATTTCAAAGCATAATTTCATAGATACGAAGACAAGGAGTTTCTTCGCGGTAACTACTGAATTAGTATTGATTCTGCGGAAAAACAAAGAAAGAATTAGATTAATTATTGCCAAAAATTTCCTTATGTCGACAGAACGATGAAAACAAATAAAAAATAACTTGTCGATAACATATCTAGCTACTGGACGTGACCAAATGGGATAAACAGTAATTAACTTCATCCTTACAATGTTGGCATATTTTTGGAAATTTCCTACTGTTGTCACGTGACTAATTATAAATTAGCAAGTTAAATGCCAAAAGATCTTTACTTTCACCCCCTGTTTTTTAGTATGCAAATGTGGCATTTACCAATATCTTTGTCATATATTTACTCCTCGGTATTTACAAACTAGCGACATATTTGCAATCCGTCCAGTGTTAATGGCAACTTTTTTTTCTGATTAATTGGATAGTTTGGAAACAAACGAAATTCATAATATCCAAACACCTGCACACCGAAAGTCGGCCTTCCTGGGTGATGCATTTAATTTAACAGATTTAAACATGAAATCTGTCATATCAATCTGTTAGATTAATAGTGACGAATTACTCCTGAATTTTGGTTCTAAATTTCAGCGTTAATTTGTCATTTTACATGTGAAATTACAAAATTGCCATGGCAACCTTCCGTACGTGTAGGTGTCAAGATGGCGAGGAAGTTTTAAAATTTTCTGAATGAAGATGTCAGGGCATTAAAATACACTTTGGAAAACCTAAACGCAATAAAGACCACATTAAGAAGGATTCTAACAGGTATTTTGTCGAGACGTTACGAACATTCTGAACTTAAGCCACATTTAAGCTGTAAACTTTTGAGATTGTGGAGTTCTCCGATCGATGCGATAAAACCAGGATAAACATGTCAAAAATCCGCGATTGCAATCGTAATTCGTCACCTATGATATTTATAGGTGATCAAATGGTATACTCGTGAAATTAGGGAATAATTTCGCTTGATTTGGACAAAGCGCGCGTGAAATGTTTCCCTAATTTCACTAGTCAAATTACACATACCAATAACAGCCGAAAATGCCGAATTTAAGGCTAAAACTAGTTTTTCATCCCAGGCCATTATTATAGTTCTAACAAACGCAAATTAATATAAGCAGAAATTAAACGTTTATAAAAATAAATAAATAAATAAATAAATAAATAAATACAGGTAAAGTTGATCAGAGTATGCAGCGATAATCACTGACATTATTATATACGTTAACCAAATTTCGCTAACAATTACTAACTTGAATATTGAAGTATTACCTATTTGGTTGTTAGGAAACCTAGTGGTCAAAAATCCTAGTTTTTTGTCTAATTGATGACTTGCGATCTAATTGTCGAAGATCGGCATCGTTACTGCTAACTTAACTCTGGCCGCATTATCGTATCACGTCACCTAAAGGTTGAGCACGCTAAACGGCATGAAGGTAAATACATATAAAGGACAGGCATCCGTTGAGTTCACTTTACCTGTAGTCGAATCTTTTACTGCGCTTTTTACAAACAAGCGAACTCTAAAGTTCAAAAGCCGCCTTCACAATTGCCGTGAATCAGATTAAGATCACAAGCAGCGAACCTTGAAACACAAAACACACAAAACGGATCGAAATCCACCAATTACAAATCACAAACCATGACCTTTTGAACCCGTTAAAGTAAAGTTTTGTTTCCTGAGATGTCGGTTAAGATGATTGACGACGGCAACGAAAAACGCAATCGTCAGTTGGCTTTTGAACTTCAAAATTCGCATGTTTGTGAAAAGCGTAGTAAATAAAAAGTTCATCGCTCCCATGTGGGAAAGAACTCTTTGTTCTTTGTTTCACTTTCTAATTTATTGATGTAGCCTTACTAAGACATTGTCGTGAGCTCTCAGTTATTAAATTAGGACGATTGTCGTTCCACATGGAAGGGGTCTCTGCATTAGATGTTTGCAAAAGGGAGGTGTCCGTCTACTAAAAACAAATAAATTCTAATATTTTTATGATTTTTCCCTTAAAAGGGTCGCAGTCTAAACAGCCTATCTGAGCCCCCACCCACCGTACCGTCCTGCCCCAATAATTGCAAAGATGGTAAACCAGGAAGAGATGGAAGGGATGGAAGGGATGGGATGACTGTGGTAGGTCCCCCTGGGCCACCAGGGAAGAATGGATTCAACGGTACGGATGGACAAAATGGAAGAGATGGAAAGGATGGAAGAGACGGGAGAGATGGTCCAAAGGTATGATTCTATTCATTTACTAGGGACCAGACTTTGCCAATATTCCATTTGAATGCATTTTAACGCCTGTAATCTCATCAATTTTAAGCCCCGACTTGATCATAATATTTTCAGGGAGACCCCGGACCACCCGGTGAGAGAGGACCTCCAGGAGTGTGTGACCGAGCTGAAGTAAGTCCAGTCAATAACTTTTGGCTTACGCAGATGTTGCTGCCAGTCCAATTTTAAAGAGGCCACTTATTCGGTTCTGTGAATTAGGAAATTATTGATCCCCTGACGGTCCTTATCTTTATGTGTATGAGCGTTAATATAATTACATCATTATAATGAAAAACAAAAATAGCTGTACCAAAGTACTGCAAGAGAGGTTTCATTCTGACACTTCAATGCTTGAAGGCCTACAGCATAAGAAAAACGTATAATACAAGCGTCTAATAAGGCATAGGGAGATCTCACTTTCAAATTCATACTACCAGCGCCAGAGATATAAAGTAGATCGACTTTTCTTTAACGGCTTTTGTCACGGCTAAGTAGTCAGGTCTTCTTCTATCATGTTTTATTATCTGAGAACAATTATACAACATTCGTGATCACTGTAGGGCGTGACTAATAATAAATAGTAATTGGGTCGAATATGATCGTCCGGGCGGTTGCAGTCCTGAATAGGACTGTTGTTCACAGCGACTGACGTTTGGAAAACTTTTGCGGTAGTCATCTTCAGTGTCAAAGTGAGTTGTACCAACCATGTATGTCCTTCGAAAGGTCTAGCTTTCATTTTGTTTATCTTCCTTTCTTTAGATCAACTCTATTAAGGCACGAATCAGTGATAATGAAATCAAGGTAAGCGTTGTACACTCAGTCGGAAGACCTCTGACGTACCCTTATTTTATTTTGCTTTTTTTTTGTACCCCGAACAATTTAATAAATCCTACTGGACCTAAAATAATCCTACCGAACGTGGGCTAAGCGTGTAATCCTTACAACGTGCTAAATGATATGTAGGCTTGGACAGGCTGAAGTAAACTTTAGGGGCTTGCTCATAATCTTGCGTACTCACTTCTTCAGGTAGAAAAAGCATGAGTCCCTTTGAAAACCCAAATGGTTCGTGACATTTTCTTTCGATAGCTTCAGGAAAAGTGGTCTTTCGTTTGCTGTGATGCTTTCTTTAATAACACAAGCTGGTTTGGCTTAAATTTAGAATTATAACTTAAATCGTTAATGCTTATGCATGAATTCAGTTTTCAACCAGACGGCTGTGTAAACACTGACCTGTAAGCTTGTGGCTATGTAAACCCTTACTTTCTTCAACAGAGGTGCATATATTCAGGGCATCAACAGTGTGAGTGGGCATTAACTGAGATACCCCTAGTTACAATATATACAATATCCCACGCTCTTTTGCCAGTTGATTGCTTTGACGCTGCTCTGCACTTGTTAAAGGTGCATTTCATTTTTTTTCTATAAACCCCGTTGTCAAGGTTAAGATATTGAGTAAAATAAATACATCTCGTCCATCGAGAGGTTCATCAAAATAACAAATTAAAAAAACTGATACTAGGATCCCAAGTCTGTTGCTTAAATATAAAACATTAATTAAAATACTTGTTCTTCTTTTTAAAACAGCTGCAAAAAATCAGTGACAAAGTCAACATGTTAGACGTTAAAATTGATGCAGAAGTTGCTGATCTTTTGGCAATTATTCAGGTAGAGTAAAACTAATCCACATTTCTATCAATGTTGCCGATAAGGTTCTTTTATTACGACAACGAGCTTTTAGATCTTATAAAACGCTCTTGTTTTTTTCATTTTCCTTTGCTTTGTTGTGGTTGTTGTTGGCTTCGTTTCACTGAAGGATCGCCATTAGCCGATAATTGTAATTATAAGCTAAGTGAATACGTTACAATTTTGAAAATGTGCAATGTATTATAAAGTAGATGCACAATCAAATTACAGTTATTGAAAAACACAATTGCTTCAAATTCATCACTAACCAATTTTCCTTTGAGGGTCATTTCTTCACTCGTTCAGCAAGCAATTAGATAGAAAAATCTGGCTAACAAGGCCAGAGGGTGTTATTTCTTCGTTTCTCATTGTGAATAAGATACCACCTAAATTTGTCCGCAAAGAATAGAACCAGTAACTGAACCTTCCTCCCCTATAGATCGTAAATGCAAGTCTAATCCCAGGCCCTACCGGGCAGCAGGGGCCACCAGGACACCAAGGACCTAAGGGTGACAAAGGAGACCCAGGAGCAACGGGTGCTGAAGGAAAACAAGGGCCAATTGGTACACAGGGCCCAAGAGGTCCCCAGGGCCCTCAGGGGCTTCGGGGGCCCAAAGGAGAAGACGGTAATTGTAATTTGAAATATTGCAAACACCGCTTGATAGAGAACGTTCAAGGGCCGGGATATCAACCCTTGAAGGTTATTCTCAAGGGACCCAGTCAGGTAAGTGTGTCATGTGCTGTAGAAACATTAAGCACGAAATTCTTATTTTTTGTCCCTAATCAAATGAGAATCTGTTTAATGTTGCACTTGGAGTGATGTTAGAGTAGAAAATTTATTTCTCTAGTCTCTAAACGTAACTGGACAAGTAATAATTTCATTGCGAAGAAATATGATATTAAGCCAGCATTAGGACGCTGCTGTTGAATAACTTTAGACTCACCGGGAAACTATCTTTGAGTACATTTAAATACTGTAATAGAGAGAATACGGATTAAAATGTCTTCGGGATTTATTATCAGGCTGCGCCTAAAATAATAGACTATTTTTTTCTGTCAAAAGTTGATTGGATACATATTTTGCCTTTAGATCTCCATGTCAGATTTTCAGTGGTAGTACGTCGCAAATAATTTTCGTCTTTCACCTGATTTTGAACTTTTTTTCGACTTAGTCAAGAAAATTCGATCCTTTTCCAGAAAGCTATATTAGGCTAAAGTTCATTTCAAACCAGTCTGTGCGGAAAATTTGGTCTGGAAGGATCTCACATGGGAAAAGCCCCATCCCATCGCAGGATGTCAGTATGTCTCCATAGCGAACCCACGCTCTTTATATTTGTAAACTGAAAATGGAAATTAAATAAGAGATAAAATCTTACCTGTTTTGTTCTATCCTTGAATCTGCTGCGGTGCGAGGTGAAATGGAAGTTGTTTTACGATGCGAAAACGATGTTCAAGGCGACACTTTGACCGTTGGTGATTGCATAATGCTTTATGTGGTTTGTCTCGCATTTCACGCGGTTGTTATTATCGTCTCTCGTTTCATTGTTGGTTACACGCTCGGAAAAAAGTGCTAAAAATCGGGCACAAATTTGTCCAAACTATTTTTTTAAATATGCATGGAATGTTACCAATATCTCTTAAACTACAGAAGATAATGAGTTGAGACTTTTATTTTTGTATTTGTCGTAAGTTATCGTTTCAAATTCTTCATTTTTTAGATAAGTACTGCGCATGACCGAAAAGTCCATTTATGTGCACTTTATTTCTGCCAAGTATAACAGTTTCAGGTTACATACTTTTGAAATAGAAACTTTTGGGAGTTTTGATTTTTTAAATTGGCCACTAGAGGGTCACATGACTGATTACCATAGAAACGCCTAATCCAAAATGTTCCTAGAATCAAGTATTGTTGCCTGTATTAATTTCAGTAACATGCCTTTTAAAGAAAACAAAGTTATAGACCCAAGAATTCCAAATATTTTGTGCCTATCACGCCCCCACTGAATCTGTTGGCCGCTCGGCTTGAAAAAAATCCCCAGCGTGTATTGCTGGTTTTCAGTGTTACGCCATTCAAAATAGATCAAAATAAAAATCAAAACCGTTGACGAGATAAAGTCCAGAATCTGGGAAATGAAAAGAGGTAAATATGCAAAGACCCCCGCCAAATTTCAGGTCAGAGGAATATTTCGTATACGAGATATTCGAAGAAACGTTTTACCCAAATTTATAGAGATTTGTATGGAGACGCCATGCTAGTGCTCATCTGGACGAGCACCAACATGGCGGACGGAAACCAAGAGAAACATCTGTTACCGAGTTTTTCTAATACATGAACTGTTTAGATAGGAAAATTCCCCTAAAACAAGTCTTTTTTTTTTAACCTTCATGACTGTCACAGCTCTCTTGGCCGTCATGCAAATGCCGCGTCACGCAAAAGCTCAGAAATTCAAGTGTACTCTATCACAAAACCAAGAACCCTTTTGGAGCGAAAATTTGTATGAAAAGTAGTTTTCAGCTGCTCTTATACATCGTGAAAGTAAAATCTCGGTAGGATTGATAGTTTTGTGGTTTGAATTTTAGTGACGTCATGCATGAAGACCAGCAATTAATTTATTAAGGATTCGAGAGAGAGAGAGAGAGAGAATAGAGACATTGATTATACGACAGCAGCTATGGAGTTTCGACCCTTGTCACTAATCATTACCGTTAATTCAAATGTTAGTGAATTAATAACCACGCGAAACAACAACAACCGCGTTTCACCAGCAGTTAAATGCGAGACAAACAAGATAAAACATTGTGAAATCAACAACGGTCAAAGCGTCGACTTGAACATCGCTTTCGCATCGTAACACAACTTCCATTTCACTTCGCACCGCGGCAGATTTAAGAATAGAACAAAACAGGTAAGATTTTATCTCTTATTTAATTTCCATTTGCAGTTTACAAATAAGAGCGTGGGTCCCCTGTGGTATGTTTCTCAAGTTATCGAAACACCTCAACACCGAAGTCAACACAATTTTTTTCTTACAGAATTACGTGATAGTAGGTGTGACCTGTTCATCAGAACGAAGCTGGGTTAGTCAGTTATCGTATGAAAGCACATCAGGCTCGTATATCTGTACTTGTAACCGCAAATACGGAAAGGCTGGAGACCAGCCGGATGAACGAGAAAAGCAAGTCCAAAGTCCACAGAAGAAAGGAAAAGACAAGTCACATATCAACGGCTGGAAATGGCAAAGAGTCTGCGCTCTACATTACTGGGATGATTGAAGTAAAAAACACAGAATTGCAACAATCCCAGCATTACTGTGATTTTAGAACAATTTCCTCCTTTATGCCGGGGTAATGACAGTTTCCCTATACTTTTAACACTAAGCAGGTTTAAGTGAATTTCCGAAAAGTTTTTGTTCAGGTTATTTCTAACTCATCGAACTGTCATCTACCTTTAAACGAGGTTATAGGGCTAAATAAAATGAAAACGTGTAACATGACAGTAGTTTTCTCTTATTATCAATTCATGAAAATAAATAGAGCTGGACAAAGTTCATTGTAGGTTGCCTTGATGAACCATGAATTCAAAGATAAATTTCGAAGAAATAAGCAATACATAAATTTTCGCTCTTATGTAGAAGCTAATGGTCTAATACTTCTGCCCTCGAAATATATCGCCAAAAGAATGTCTTGACGTCTACTGAAACGACCTTTGAAAAACGTCCAGACAGTTTTGTTGCCGGGTAACTGCGGACACTAATACGATACCGCACCTAGTAGAACTGCCAACGAGTTAAAGAACGATCATTTGTAAACCGGGCTACAACAGGCCGTTAATGTGCCTTGCATCGAGAGGGATTATTCCTTGTCAGTTCTGGTGCTACAGTACTGTGCAAGCGTAGTGAAAGCGAAATTCGCCTTATTTCGTCCTTTGTTCTCGCGAAAATTTGACAAAATTGTCTGTATTCAACACTGTGTGTTATCTTCGGTAGCATGGAAAATATATAGAGGATATTACATGGCCGCGCGGGGATACGAATTTTATCTTCGAGCACTGGAAGTATCTCTCACGAATGAGCGAAGCGAAAGAGTGAGAGATACTTTCAGCGCGAGAAGATAAAATTCGTATTCCCAAGCGGCCATGTAATGTTCTGTTTACTTTATAGATACTGATGAAAGTCCTACATAAAACACAACTTCTTTATTATTCATTTTCGAAACAGCAAAATAGTGCAATTAAAGTCGTCACCTATCGCAAAATGCCTGTCACAAAAATGTTATGAAACTCGGATATAAAGTTATAAAGGAGAAATAAAGACAATGTTACTTATATTTTCTGTTCCAAATAGTCAAAATTAATGTTAGTAACCATGGCGACACCGATATCCTCACACGTGAAAGATAAAAATAGTATTTTCATACTGAACTGAACGCAATCGTGTGTAAAAATACGAGTGCATGAATCAAAATGCAGAGCTGTTAAACGCATTAATCAGGCCGAAAACCGCGAAAAACGCAAAATTAGAACCCGCAAACACACTACAGGCAGGCCAAATTCAAAGTTTTCTATAGCTTGATATCAGAAGTCAACAGAAAGGATAAATAATGGTAATTTTTTCGACCCGATGCGATTTTACCGACTTGGCTTTATACACCCAAGAAGTCGGCATTGAAAGAAATCACCACGCATGAAGCAATCACCATGTAAATAAGGCAAGGCTTTTTATATATTTAGAATTTCTTCTTTCTTCTTGAAAAATATGATAGCGAGATAACCATGTAAATCCCTTGGATACTCTAATATTGTGCTTGGGCTGCCTGTGCTTGCTCTCGATCTTCGGGGGTCCTAATTCTTGCGAAATCTTCGCGGTTTTTCTCACGCTCCGCACCTAACGTAAACAATAGTCTGTGGTGTGTTCAGTTCTTGCTTCTTGAGTGCTGATGATTAACGAGAGCATTTCTCTTCTTTGAGGCTATTACCGGGATGTTCAAGGCAATTTGAGATCACGCAAAATAAAAAGTCTCACCTCGAGCGCGGAGACAAACCGTCCCTATGGGAGATTCCATCGGTCACATTCATATTCTGCAATACGTGAAGTGAATTTAATTGGAACCAAGGTCACACCAATTCCTATGTTTCCGTGTGTGCCAGAGAAGTTTTATCAGCGTCAACCACTGTTCCTGCTCTGTTATATTTGCATATTCCGCTATGATATAAATGCACCCTCATTTCCGGCAATGAATATCGTGGTCCATATAAATAAGTCCATTTTTTGCTCCCAATTTACCGTTTCTAACAGTTCTAAAGCAAGTTATTCGGTCCAGTTATTCCTTGTGCCATTGCATGGTATTTTAGGGCACTTAATATACTTCTCACTTGAGAGACAACAAAATTCTTGGGCTTTCGACATGGATCTGTCAGTGACATACCAACCCATGCCAGTGCTTTCACACCGGAACTGCAGCCGGCTTACTACTTGATAAATGCGTCTCAACTTTCGTGTGTGATTTTAAAAGTAACCTATTATTCTGGAGACTGTAGGCCCACTGTAGTTCTCACACAGCTGCGCTGACTCTCTGATTGGCCGGGGAGAAATAGCCCCAATTCTCAGGCAAGCGTTAATTATAACGCTTGAATAAAATGACTGTCTAGCTCTCTTGAAATTGTAACTTCAAGAAGGGTGCAGGGGGTTCAAAACTGCCTCTTCTAAAAACATTTTGAAGGCTTTTGAATTTGACACATGTTTAGCCCATCACAGTCCTGAGGTTAGCTGACTGTTTTATACTTCACTCCATGTACTTATTTTAAGTCATCGCCACTCTTATGACTTATAAAACAAAGGAAATAAACTTACCCCGGCACTCGGCCCAAAATGATTAGCAATCAACGACTTTCTTTCACATGTTTCTGGGCGTATTAATTTGTATGCTTTTCGAAGTGAGAACAACTTTATCTCCTTGTGGCGATAGAGCTAATTAAGGCGTTGACTGTTATTATGTCTTATATGTATCAAGCTTGACAGGTCAAAGTTTCAAACTTTTCAGCAACAATTCTAGACAGCGGTGCAATATTGCTTCCCGGAATTGGCTCCAGGCAGTATCTTTAAAGGTCACAATCATGCAAATCCAGCTCTCTTTTTCGACAAAACGCTCCCCGATATTGCTTCGAAATTGTTGAATTAAAAACACCAGGCAGCTGAAGTCCGTTCATGTTGTCGTTTTAACAAAAATCCAGAATCACATCAACGGTGCCAGATTAGAGATTAATGGCTACTTATAGTAAATGCATTTTGTGCCCCCTCATGCTGGGCAGAAAAATTTATACAGCACTTAACTTGAAACTAACAGAGCGGGAAGAGCTTTATCTCTTTAAGTGAAAGCCAACAAATTTACTCTTTGGCTATAATTATTCATTTAAGTGTATGAATTGAATTCTAAACAGACAATTCAAGTTTTTCGCCAGGTGCTAATATTGCGCTTGAAGTTTCCCTACAAGCAGAGGGTCTTGCAAGATATTGGCCTCTTCTAGCTGACTTGTAGTAAGACAGCCATTTTGTGCCTTGAGGAAGTTACTCAAGTTTGTTGATGGTCTTTAAGCAGCCATACAATTTCAGCTTTCGTTTTAAAAAAGAGGCACTAGCTAGATACTGCTCAAATGTGCTCGGAAGTCATAAGTTCATATAAGTTAGTGATAAGTTCATATACATTAGTTTATAAGTATACGGTTCAGTGCTTTTCCATCTTGTATTTCACGTTTGATAATGGTCTTGAAATACATGTAAGAAGCGAAATATTATGTTTATTTATTTTGTGTCAATTTCTTGCTTATACTTATATTTTAAGTTAGGAAGATGTTTTTCGGAGTTGTCTTTGTATTATATTGCGCTCAGAAGTACTTGGTATATATCTTGTTTACTTGTGAGTTTCAGAAGAGGAGACCAGGAAGCTATCTTTTACGCAAACTTAAGCGGCAAGGCTCTTAGGTTGGGCGCTATACCAGAAAACGAAAAGAACTGGTCGATTAAAAATCCTTCACAAAAATACACTGAATTATTCTTACTGAGATCACTTCAAGTTCTACCATTTCGTGCTGATTTCGCCATTTAGAGACATACAGGTCAGTGAGCCGATATTTTACTTGTTTTTGAGGATTAATACGACAAAGCAAACAACTTGATCACAGGCATCCGTATACTGAGAGTTAGTTTTAAAAGAAAGTATTGCTACCTNCCCTCATGCTGGGCGGAAAAATTTATACCGCACTTAACTTGAAACTAACAGAGCGGGAAGAGCTTTATCTCTTTAAGTGAAAGCCAACAAATTTACTCTTTGGCTATAATTATTCATTTAAGTGTATGAATTGAATTCTAAACAGACAATTCAAGTTTTTCGCCAGGTGCTAATATTGCGCTTGAAGTTTCCCTACAAGCAGAGGGTCTTGCAAGATATTGGCCTCTTCTAGCTGACTTGTAGTAAGACAGCCATTTTGTGCCTTGAGGAAGTTACTCAAGTTTGTTGATGGTCTTTAAGCAGCCATACAATTTCAGCTTTCGTTTTAAAAAAGAGATACTAGCTAGATACTGCTCAAATGTGCTCGGAAGTCATAAGTTCATATAAGTTAGTGATAAGTTCATATACATTAGTTTATAAGTATACGGTTCAGTGCTTTTCCATCTTGTATTTCACGTTTGATAATGGTCTTGAAATACATGTAAGAAGCGAAATATTATGTTTATTTATTTTGTGTCAATTTCTTGCTTATACTTATATTTTAAGTTAGCAAGATGTTTTTCGGAGTTGTCTTTGTATTATATTGCGCTCAGAAGTACTTGGTATATATCTTGTTTACTTGTGAGTTTCAGAAGAGGAGACCAGGAAGCTATCTTTTACGCAAACTTCAACGGCAAGGCTCTTAGGTTGGGCGCTATACCAGAAAACGAAAAGAACTGGTCGATTAAAAATCCTTCACATAAATAAACTGAATTATTCTTACTGAGATCACAAAAGCTAAATCTCAACGTCATTTGGAACTTCAAGTTCCACCATTTCGTGCTGATTTCGCCATATAGAGACATACAGGTCAGTGAGCCGATATTTTACTTGCTTTTTAAGGATTAATACGACAAAGCAAACAACTTGATCACAGGCATCCGTATACTGAGAGTTAGTTTTAAAAGAAAGTATTGCTACCTCGATTAGAAGAACACAAAGTTCTGGTTTCAACTTTGTTGATAAAGTCAATTTTCCATCCTTGAGAGTGTGAAAAGACTGAGGTTTAAAGCATTTGTCCTCCGATCCAAAGCAAATCAAGGGATTGCGGTTTCTGTGGTTTTTACAACACAGGTAGACTAAAGTATAATTTTATAAGACTTTTCCAATGCTTACCTTCCCTGGTGATGTTTTAAAACTGGATTGCAATCGTGCCTTTAGGTTGGTTTGTGTTCCTCCATAATGCGGTGCAGTGTCTATCGAATCAGCTCAGTGATTCGATAGCGGAGAGGCGTTGACTCGTTCATACCTAAGATGCGCGCGTCAATCAGCCCAACTGGAACCATAACCCGTGTGCCATGACTGACGTCATTTGAAACTTGATGCCGGCAGAACTTGTGTAGGAGGAATTAATTTTCCTAGGGAAGCCCGGCGATTCTGTCAAATGTGCCAGAGGTATATGACCGAAAAAAAAATTCGGTTAAATTTGAATGAAAACCTTCTCGAGTAAAGCGATTGCTATGCAATATGTTTTCACACGGAATGGAATTGAATCATCCTAAAGTCCTATAGCTCTTCCTATTAAATCAACATTTAGACCAAGCATGCTGGTCCGAAGCTAATCAAAGAAAAAAAACGTGAAAGGTAAGGATTTAATCAAGCAATCTAGAAAATGCTATTTCTGCTTAGCATTGATGCAAAACTGACTCGGTTGCCATTATAATCCAATAATGACGC